TATATAATTACCATCTTAAATTACCAATTTTCCCAATAAATTCAAGAACTCACGTAGTAACTTAAGGTAATCCTAGTATATATCAAGTGCCCAATACATAGTTGAAAAAGGAATAAAGGAAACTTGTATACGTTTCATGTCTGATTGCATCAGATGACTATGTTGGTGTTATTACAGGCTACTGCCATTTTATTCAGGCACGTTATAGGGGAAAAAAGTCCAAGTCAAGTAAACAGCACTTTTGTATTTGTTAACAAACTCCAGTAGAGAACAATGTTCATTGGATGGTTCTGTTTTCCTTAAAAGATCCTGCAGAGAATTGTTAAGGAATTGACCCCCCAAATCTAGAACTTTCTGGTGGGACTGGTATTCTTCTTCCTTCATGATCAGAAAAACCTCCAAGTGAAGGACACAATGAAATGTTTAAGTGAATTGCTGCACAATGGAAGGTGCACATGAGTCGCCCTGCGGAGGACTGACCACAAGGCCCAGGTTGCCAGGCACCAGCCCAGTGACCGTAGGCAGTTCCCTCACCTTCTCTAAGTTTCAGCTTTCTCGTCCACAAACTAGCTGTGTAGTCTCTCCCTCACAAAATTTGAAGCTTAAATGAAGTAACATATGTGAAAATAAGTAGTAGACAGAGCTACTTCTCCCAGTACCCTTCTCATTCTATCCCAGCCATTTGTCTACCCTGATTATACCTCAGAACCAAATTCTACAGCCCTGCTCCAGATCTACTGAACCCAAATCCAAGGGTTGTGGCTTAGGCATGTGGACTTTTCATATATTTTCCTCAAACCACCACCAGGATTCAGTGTGTGCCCAGGAAAGGGGGCCACTTAGAAGCCTCTTAATACACACTGTATAGCCCAAAACCCCACAGCAAAATGAATAATGGCTGCTCTTTGGCTCTCTTCAGGACTTCCAGGGAAATGGCATCTTCTACTCCAATCTCCCTCTTGGGGAAGCAAGGGTCCTGAAAGCTGTAGCCTAGCAGAGGTGTTAAGACCAAGCCCCTGCCCCTAAGTATCATTGCCCCAAGAAGGACTCCCTGATGGCCCCCTGTGCCCCCCCATCCCATGTACACTAGGTGCCCCTTCTAAGTATTCACCTGCACCCCGAGCAAGGCTCTGTCTTCATACTCCTCAAACCTTACATTCTTTCTCCCTACATCTCCCTTCCCAGACGGTGAGCTCCTGCAGCTCGGAAGGTATCTGAACTCACCTTAGGATCCCTAACACCTGTATTACAGGTGTTCAGCATATGATAAAGAGTCATCCCCCTCCTCCTATTTTTTCATTTCTTATTATCTTGTCTGAGATTACTGGTTATATTCTTCCTGACCTTCTGGAGTCGTGGTAAGGGATGCTCTAAAATAGAGGATGAGGTCGTTTTTGCTGAGAATTTGGGGAAATGGCAATTAGGAAGAGAGCCAAATGAGGGAAGGAAACGAACATGTACTGAGTGTGTGCTACATGCCAAGAAACATAGTAGGCAGCCTTGCCAGAGTTTCTCATGTATTTCTTCCAGCCTTTCAGTCCTAAAAGCTTGTCCTCTCACTAAAGCATTTACACATTAACCCACACAATGACTTCCAGTCAAAAACTTGACCGAACTTGAGCAAATTACATGAGCGAATTAATTACATGTTACAGGGACACCAAAATAGGTTTTTAAAATAGAATGGCACTCATGCTGCTGATCCCTAATCCCAAGAAAGCAAATCTAACACCAGAAGTCAAGAGCCCATTATTTGTATCTGGATCATCCACCCCTGGGCAATAGGTCAGAGAAATGAGATAATTATATGCTTTCTGGTTAATTATCTGAGATGAAACATCCTACAGATATGTAAAATGTCAGTGGATCCTGCATTTTGGGGCATAGGAATCTGTGACAAATGTCCCCGCTGCTCAGCACGAGTCAAGCAGGCCACATATCAGGGTACGTAGGACTAGAGAATTCCGAGACTCTGCTTGCAGCCCTTCTCCTACTACCATTAGTTTCAGCCTCCCTCTCAACCACCCCCTGGGCCTCTACCCATTCATTATTTCAGTGTGGGTCCCTGTCCCTTGCTCTTTTTTTTTTTTTTTTTTTGAGAGAGAGCATGCATGTGCTCAAGCAGGGGATGGGGTAGGGGTAGAGGAAGAGGGGGAGAGAGAATCCTAAGCAGGATCCACACCCAGCTTGGAGCCCAACCCAGGGCTCCATCTCACAACGCTGAGATCATGACCTGAGCTGAAATCAAGAGCTGGTTGCTTACCCGACTGAGCCCCCCAGGGTCCTTCCTTGTCCCTTGCTCTTACATCACATCATGTATAGGCTCCATCTCACCTTTACCAGAGGCTATCCAGGTCCCTGAAAATTAAGGAGGATAGACTAAAAGCATGAAGGGAGGGGCACCCCTATGCATGCACTTGTGAACAAAATACCTTCAATGCCTTCCCTTCCAATTAGATCGGTTGTCAAATTTTTGGCCAGAACAGATGAGGCAGACATTACTGACTGCCTTCTCAGTGTGTTCAGACCACCCTCTACTTTGCTGACAGAATGTCCATGAATCCATGGACTCAGGGATATAACATAGTACGAAGCTCTAAGGGGAAGTCGGCTGGAGGCTTCACGGAAAGATTTCCTCCATAATAAAAAGAGGGTAAGTGGAGATGAAGGATCCTTTCTGACTTTGGACATTGACATGTGAGGACAGTGTGCTTGTAGCTGCTGTAGCTCTTTTGTTCCCAGGAAGGGAAAGCCAAGAAATCTGAAAGAAGCTGACCTAGAGCCCAATTAACCAATTTTAATACTATGTGAGAAAATTAATTCTTTATTGGTTAAGCCACTTTTAGTTGGGTATTCAGCCAAAAGCATCTGCATCTGTCCACTGGAAAAGCCTAGAATGTCTAGTCCATTATTCATTCTCAGGGCTTAGATAGAGAACAAGACGTAAGCAACAGGAATACATCTCTACTTCTGGCATTTCTGGTTTCATGGCAGGTATGAGAGTTGTTTGAGGGAGAAAACCATCCTTAGACCAGGTCCCTCCAGTGAGCTTGTGGAAATGGCCCAAAAAAATCCTGAGCTGTATATTAAGACGTATACTAACCATGACCAGCTTCTGTCTGGCAAGCCCGGCACCTTAGAATCCTGTGCAATATGGGGGAAAAAAAGGTTCATGTGACTTACAACATATTTTTCAGTTGGGAATGAATTCTATCTCATAAGGACCAATATATTTGAACCTATTGCTCTGGGGTATAGAAATCATGACAGAGACTACAGAGTCCTATAATTTCAAAGTTGGAAAAAAGTTGGAGATTATCCATACCAAACATTTTATTTTGAGAAAACAGATTGCCCGACCTATTTCCTACAAACAATTACTGAGATCATTAAAACTAACAAAATTCTCACTTTTTAACATGAGGGAGAACTTCTTCAATAACTTTCAGACAATCTATTTCAAACAAGACAGTTTATTTTCACTAGGTGCTTGGCACATAGGATTCTGTTTTAAAGTGTCTGTTGAATAGCATGGAAAGAATGAACTCATGCAAAAGGAAAATAATCTGGCTACTACTGTATGCTCTCAAGATGTCATATGAAAGAGACCCTGGGTTGCTGTCCCAGGCTGCCATGTTTGTGAATGAGTGTGTCAGGATAAATTATTCCTTCAAATGATTAAACCAGAATGAGTAAACTAAATTTGCATTTGTGCATAGTTTCCTCCTTCCTTTCCTTCTAGTATTTTACAAACATGTGAGTGTATATTTGTTAAACAGTGTGTAGAATGTTGTCTTTCTACATCTGTTTTACCAAATACTTATATCTCCACTCACTGGGGAGGCTTTGTGCCCCTCTCCCCTCCCAATTCTAAAATGAAATGATTCTGTCTTAAAGTCTTTAAGTCAAACTCAAGTTACCCTTCTCACCCTGGGAAACTAGTAAGAGAACAGCCCCACCCCCAACTCTGATTCGTGCTTCCCCCTCTGTGCAGTTCACAATAAGCTGCCTGCCTTCAGGAATCACAGGTTTCAATAGCCAAAAGGAAGGCAAGAGCTAAATAAAATGTTCTGAGTTTATAACAAGCAACATGGATAATGTCCCTATCAAAGGAATGACATTTGTACTTTGGCAAGGTATATACATACTAAAAAACTGGAATGAATTTGATAAATTTGACAACCCTACAATTGATACAGTCAGAAACAATTTAACTTTTAAAAGCGAAAAAATTTAAAAGTATCACTTACCCTTCAGTGAGCACAAAACTTACACTTGGAAAGCCACCACCCTGGGGTGACTTCAAGAGTGTAAGTAAGTGAAAAAAATAACACCTGAGGGCAAATATCTTAGGAAGAAGTAACAGGGGGATTTAAATGCACAGATTGGGGCGACTGGGCAGCTCAGTGAGTTAAGCATCTGACTCTTTATTTCAGCTCAGGTCATGATCTGGGGGTTGTGAGATGGAGCCCCCCCAACCCTCCACCCCCCAGCTCTGAGCTCAGTGGGGAGTCTGCTTGAGATTCTCTCTCCCTCTGCCCCTCCCTGCCTCTAAAATAAATAAATAAATCTTTAAAAAAATGCATACTCAGATCAAATACAAATAACATTATGCCTGAAACCTGGGGTCCAAAGAAAGCTTGGGTTGGGAGAAAGAATGCATAGACACCAAGAAATGAAGAAATCAACAGCAGAAAGAGGATCTGAAATAAAGGAAGTCTCCCTTCAGCTCCCTCCCAGATTTTGCATATGAACAGAATTAAACATGATGCTTCTCAGGGGCTTCAGAATATGAGTTAGAGGAGAAGACAGTATGTTCCCTCCAAAAAGGTGGCCTGCCCCACCTCTCTCTAGGCAGCAGAACAAAAGCACTTGTTTGCATCCATCTCTATGACAGTTTTTAACCAAAACCTAGAGGAGTTTCTCTAAAGGAGATGTGCAAATGGAATATGTAAAGATAACTGTGGTATAATAAAGAATATATCTGGCTTTTTCCCTAGTTCCTAACACAGAGTTTCAAAAACTCTTTGAACTTCCTGAGTGTTATAGGCTGAATTGTGTCACCCTAAAATTCATGGTCTTCAACAGTCCTACCCCCACATTCCTTCAGAAAGTGACTGCATTTGGAGATACGGTCTTTAAAGAGGTAAGTTAAATGAGGTTCTAGGGTGCGATGTACTCTGATATGACCAGTGTCCTTATAAGAATAGGAGGTGAGTACATGGACACGCACGGAGCGGGGAGACCCTGTGAAGACACAGGGAGAAAATGGTCATCTAAAAGCCAAGGAGAGAAACCTCAGAAGAAATAACATTGCCGGCCCTTTGATCTTGGACTTCTAGCCTCCAGAATCGTGAGAAAATAAACTTCTATTGTTTAAGCCACCCAGCCTCTGGTACTTGGTTATGGCACACTAACACACTGACAATAGAAGTATAATGAGGTGACTCCCGGTGGGTGCCTAGAGAACTTTAGGGTGAGAGCTGGCCACCAGAAAGACCAATCATATGATTAGAGGGTTGGAACTTTGGGCAGCTGGACCTCTAGGGAAGGTGGGGGTGCTGGAGATTGAGTTCAATCATGTGGTCAATAATTTAAGCAATCATGCCTAAGTAATGAAACCCCAGGAAAAACTCTGGACCCAAGCTTGGAGGAACTTCTTGGCTAATGAACATACTGATGGGCTGGGTGGCTCATACACGAGGATTCCATGAGGAGAGGACACAAAGAAGCTCTGCAGCCCCTTCCCCACACCTTGCCCTATGTGTGTCTTCCATTTAGCCATTTCTGAACTGCACGCATCCTTTATAATGAGACTGTAATGGTAAATGTAACACTTTTAGTGAGTCTGGTGAGCTATTCTAGCAAATTATTGAAGCTGAGGGGGTCATAAGAACCCCAGCATTTATGGCTGGTCTTCAGAAGTGGGGGTGGCCCCTGAGATTTGTGGCTGGTGTCTGAAGGGGGGCATGCCATCCTGTGGAAGATTGAGGCTTTAAACCTGTGGGGTCTGGATGGTTAGTGTCAGAATTAAATTGGAGGACACCCAGTGGGTATCAGAGAATTGAAGTCAGAACAATAATAGTTTGAGAATTCAGTCATTTGAACTCTTTTCACAACGTATTTTTTCTATTGTTCTAAATGTAAAGCATTCCTTTCTTAGAAGGAACATTCCTCTGAAGTTATTTAAGGTCCTTCAGACTGTACAAAGTGAAGCTGAGTAGACATTAAATGCAGTTAACTAGATGATTTTTGTGGTCTCAAATGAAATCAAATACTGAAAATAAAATACGAATTCTGGATGATTTTGAAAATTCTTTAAACACTAGTAGTTTAATATGAATAGAAGTAATATTTACTAATGTATTAAAATTTACTTATAATATCATAGTGGAATGGTCTTATGACATGTAACTCTCAGATAAACATTTCACACAGCCTATAGTCTTTTTTTGATACTACCTAAAGTTTCATGATAGTACTTAGATCATTTTTTTTCTAGATTTGGTTTCTGATCAACATGGAGGGAAACAATAGATTCTAACTCTAATTTTTTTTAAAAGATTTGTATTTATTTATTTGACAGAGAGAGAAACAGGGAGAGAGGGAACACAGGCAGGGGGAGTGGGAGAGGGAGAAGCAGGCTCCCTGCCGAGCAGAGAGCCCGATGTGGGGCTGGATCCCAGGACCCTGGGATCATGACCTGAGCTGAAGGCAGATGCTTAATGACTGAGCCACCCGGGTGCCCCAATGTTTATTTTTTTAAGATAAAATAAGAACACTTAAAAACAAAACAAAACAAAACAAAAGGATGGTTTTAAACTAATTAAAGCCAGAAATTATGGTAAAAAGAATTACCTGAGACAATAAAAGATCTAAATTACTTTGTAAAGTATGTGAAATAATGCTATTAAAAATTTCCTAATAATCATTGGTTAAACAGAAGTTTAAAGTCTCATTGAAATGGAAAGAGGTAATAGAGTTTGAGAATATCTTTGATAAAGCATAGAAAAGGATTTACATATAAAAAGACAAACCATTTTATTTGAATAATGACCATGACAGTCTCACCTAGGCATGGGGTAAAGTATTCTGTGAATCTTCATCCTAACCAGAAGCAGAGGAAAATAGGAAAAGAGAGGGAGAATACTAACCGGTTCTACCTCCCAAATATTTTCATAAGCAACATGCTTTGCTCATCCAAACAACCCAAAATACTGGTAAAAGCAACAATCTGACTTAGGAATAGCCAAAGTCCCTAACTGTAAGATTTTTGCTGAACTTAAATTTTCAAGTGAAAGATGTGTAAGTTTGAGAGATAATTTGTTGCTATCCAAAACGGGAGAATTAGAGTAAAAATTCCAATGCTTTCCTTGCTTGAAAGCTACATTTTCATCATTTTTAAGGTTGACACTGGGTAGTTCTAATATTGCCAAAAATTCTTGGAGATAGTCAAGAAGAGCACCCATGATTCCCTTAGCAGAAGCAAGGGCAAAGGAATTGCTTAAGTGGATTTTAAGTAAAATTATGTCCAAATTATTTTCTTCTGGGAAAGAAACAAAGCAGCCAAAACCTGGTATAGAGGGGCCCAAACTTGAAAGAATAAAAAACGTCAAGATCAAAGCCATTACTTTAGTCTCCTAGCCTGCAAACATGGCTGAAGCAAGTTGAAATGAGATTTGACCCCAAATAAAATGGGAATTAAGTGATTTTTTTTTCTAGGAAACTAGTTAAGAAATTAAGAGGAACGTGGAGGCTATGGCTATTAAAATAAAATCTACTTGAAGTCAATCATGTGTTCAAAAGATAACAGCAATTGTTTACAGATGTTCTAGTGAGTGAGAAGAAAGCCCACAGTCTACAGTGACCTGAAGCACATCAGGTATTTAACAAGGAAAACTCTACAATATAATGAGGTATCCTCCAACTCCAATCATAATTTGATGAGTCTCATGAAACAGAGGAAATGTACATAACTTGTCACTTTTATGGCATTGAATCAAAATCAATTATTTGTAATTTACCTTAAAATGGGTTGGGCCCCCCTCCCCCCCCCACCAAAATCAGGTATGTAGGCATATGTTGCTCAATCTAGATTGTAGCTAAATGAGTAGTCACTGAATGATTCATTCTACTTTTCTGTGTTGAAATTTTTTTATGATAAAAAGTCTCAAAATCAGTTAATCAAACAAGGATTTGAAAACAAACTATACAACAAACAGCTAAATAAGTCAAACATCCCATTAGCTGGTGCCAAAAAGAACCAAATATCATTAAGACTCTTCCTAAAACTTGGTTAAAAAGCACTAATGAAGACTGCTTTCTATCTTAGGCTTATTATAAGACCTTACATATTTTTTTTCTTCTAAGATTTTATTTAAATTCAAATTAGTTAACATATAGTGTAGTATTAGTTTCAGGAATAGAGCTTAGTGATTCATCACTTACCTAGAACACCCAGTACTCATCACAAGTGCCCTCCTTAATGCCCATCACCCATTTAGCCCACCCCTTACCCACCTCCCCTCCAGCAACCCTCAGTTTGTTCTCTATAGTTAAGAGTCTCTTATGGCTCGCCTCCCTCTCTGTTTTTATCTTATTTTATTTATTTATTTTTAAGATTTTATTTATTTGACAGAGAGGGAACACAGCAGGGGGAGTGGGAGAGGGAGAAGCAGGCTTCCCGCAGAGCAGGGAGCCCAATGCAGGTCTCGATCCCAGAACCCTGGGACCACGACCTGAGCCGAAGGCAGATGCTTAACAACTGAGCCACCCAGGCGCCCCTATCTTATTTTATTTTTCCTTCCCTTCCCCTATGTTCATCTGTTTTGTTTCTTAAATTCCACAAAAGAGTGAAATCATATGGTATTTGCCTTTCTCTGACTGACTTAGTTCACTTAGCATAATACACTCTAGTTCCATCCACGTCATTGCAAATGGCAAGAAGAGCTTACATATTTTTATTGCATGTTGAGAACTGAGACCCCTGGGAAATGAGGAAAGTGAAGAAATTTTCACTGTAGTCAATTAAACATAAAGATGTTTTGGTGTTTGGGTTTACACCAAAGAGACATACAGTATTTGTCAATGAAGAGAATGAAATTCTAAGACCAATAGGTATATGCCCAGCTCTGCAGATGATACATGCCCCAGAGGATTTATACTTGGACAAGCAAATGAGATTTTACACAAAATAATTAGAAATGATATAAAATATAGAGCTAAATTAAATACAATTTTGGATTAAAATGTATTACAGATACACAAATATAGGGCCTATCTGGTAGACAGAATAACAGTCCCCAAAAATGTCTTAATCTCTGAGAATATGCTACCTTCCATGGCAAAAGAGAATTTGTAGGTAAAATTAAATAAAGATGTTGAGATGGAGAGATTACCTGAGATTATTCTGGTGGGTACTACAATCACAAAGGTCCTTATAAGAGGGCAGAGGGAGAATCAGAGATGTGACAAAAGAAGCAGAGGTTAGAATGATGTGAAACAACAAGGCAAAGAACGTGAGCAGCCTCTAGAAACTAGAAAAGGCAAAGAAACAGATTCTTCCCTAGAATCTCCATCAGGAATACAACATTGCCGACTCCTTTTAGATTTCTAACTTCCAGAAGTGTAAAATAATAGATTTCTGTTGTTTTTAAGCCCCTAAATTTGTGGTAATTTGTTTGGTAGCAACAGAAAACTAATCCATCACATTATAAATGGGACGGCTGCTGCAGTCAGGAAGGAGAGAGATTAAGATTTATTAAAATAGGGAGGGCTTCATGAGGGAGATGAGTTCCGTGAAAGGATCTGAAGACTATGTCTGTTGGGGATTGACTTTGTTTGCATGTCAAAGAAAGCTATCATAATGTTGTAAACAAATACAGCCACTTATTTTTTTTATACCACAAGGAGTCTGAAAGAGGGTAAGCTAGACTGGTAAGTGACTCTATGATGTCAAGTCTTCAGGCTCCTTTTAACTTTTAGTTCCTCCATCCTTAGCATGTGGCTTTCAGCTTTATGGTTGCCTTATAGCCACAAGGTGGCTGCTCCTTCTCCAGCCTAACATCTTTATCCCAGATAGGAAGAAGAAAGCAAAAAGAGGAAAAAGTGGTACCTATATCAGGAAAGCAAAAATTTCCTGACAAT